CTATCAATTAATTTTTATTAGGAAAAAGAGGAAGTGAAATTGAACGAAATTTAAATGGTAGAATATAAAAGAGGAAGGATTAATTTCTCAAATTACCTGCGTTTGTTTACAATTATTTTTTTAAGTGAGTAGAATGAACCCAGTGTTGAATTGACCTCTGTGGTTATTAGTAAGCTGCCTACAAATCCATTTCATTGATGCGATCGAATATAAATCTTTTATATTAGCTTAATTCAGCGGTAAGTTCTGGGGATATTTGCTAGCATTTGGAATCATATCTTTTCCTTTTCGAGAGTTATTCACTTGACAGTGTCGTTTCTCATTTTCTCTTTGGTGCTTTATTGTTCTAATCTAATATGAAAACGGCTAACTTGGCTCAGCTTATTACATCATGATCGGATGTGTTGCATATAGTGACCAATAAAAAATTTCACTTGTCTTTCTAATAAATAGGCCAATCCATGCTGGACAATCATATAAGGGAATGATTTGTATTACAATTAGTCATCATAGCTCTGAAGCGTGTACTATATAAACAATAGTGTAGTGTGGGATTTCCATGTTAATTTTAATGGTTTCATCATTAATGATTGCAGGACACGCAATGTTTCCCCATTTATTGGGTGGGGTGAGGTCATTGCTGAATTTTCATTTATTTAATCTTCGGAGAGCTTATTGGAATTATGGAACGATGAGTCATAATGAACAAATTCGTCCCTTCATCCCTTTATTGCGACCTATTTAAATTCAAATTCAATTTCAGTCAGACTGACGTCTATCGCATAATTTATACTTGTAAAAACTATCTTGACCATACCGCAACATTTGGGGATAGTTTCGCGATTAACCTCTTTGATTAAATTTCAGTTGAACTAGTAGATTTAATAATTCAACAATAAGTTTTTTTAGTGAGTAAAAATTATAAATTTAAATACTTGTTTATTCTTTTGCTTCAACTATGATTTCTAGAACTTTCATTGCACTTAGTGTAATTTTTCGACGATCTTACTTCTGAAATCATTTGCGAACTTCTTGAGACAGTTATTGCATTTTTGCTTTGCATGAGTTTTATTAATATTTGAACTGCATAAATATTAGCTAAGGGTTTTAAGAAGGAGGGGATCATCTTACTTTTTGTAAAGAAAGTTTTGAAAATTAATTTGTTAATCTTAAGCAGTGACTGAATAAATTTAGTTTCATTGGTATTATTAGTTTTATTTCTGATAGAATTGCTCATCGAAAATCGCTTCGTCGATAATAATTATTCTTTCTCTATACAGTTATGAGATTAATGAAATGTAAAGTATTTCAGTTGCTGTGAAGTGAATTAAAAGACGAGACAAAGCAAGTGATCTTTTATGTTGTATCATAAGCGATGCTGGATCATTATACCCACACAAGCTATCGAATTTGGCGATCGTTTATGAATTTAATTATCAATACTAAATTGTATTACGATGTTCCTAACGTCATGCTTTTGCTTCTTTTTCATACTACTTCCTGCTGATTTCGCAGTTGGTAGTTCAAAAGGTTTGTTTTTCTGTCAGTGTTGGAGACATCTAAGAAAAGGTTACATCAGTAATTTCCGAAATCTATCCAAACTTTTGTTTCTAGAACTTCGTTTAATTCTGTAAATGATCACCTATTCTTTATTAGTGATTGGTTTATGAAGAAACCAAAGCGCAGATATTAAGTTTAACTGAAACTCTTAAATCCTGTATGTTTTTTAATAATCGTCTGAATATTATATTTTTCAACCTTTCCAAGTTATTAACAGTTCATTGTAAAAAAAATTGAAATTTTTATCGTTTTCTTTATTACCAGAATTAATCTGTCGACAAAGACCGGTATATTACTTTGTTCCGTTTTTTTTGTTGCAAGCTTCTCTTTGACAGTCATAAATTTTTAGACCAACTTCGACATCTCGCTACCAACAAAGATTTTATTAGTAGGCTTGCAGAAGGTGAATTTGAAGTGGTCCATCCATTCCAAATCCGAGATAAAAACGACCGTATCGGCATTGATACTAAGTTAGTTTTTTCCTTTCTGGTTCATTCGGATTTTGTTTCTTGCATGTGCAGTGTAAAATTCATCCAAAATGTTGTTGCAGGAATCACTATTTAAATGGGAGTGTTCATTACAAGCAGGTTACAATTGTTATTCGTAGTACTGTTGTGAGTCGTTTAAAACTTCTGTTGGGTCTTAATGAGTTATTATTCGTTAATGGAACCGATTTTCGGAAAGTAAGTTCAAACGAAATTCTGCTGACTTTTTTTTAAGCAATTGTAAAATGAAGGGTTCATCTTCTCCAGTGATGAATATTTTCTCGTTGAATGTCGTATCCACTCTGATTTTTCCACTCTTGGAGTGTGTAATACATTACACTCGATTGAAATGCAAAAATTATGCTTATCTTGCACCTTAACTAATATCGTTCTTTGTTAGATTTTAGTTATCGTCCCAGACAGTTTTTATTTATTTTTTTCTTAAATTACAGCAATAAGCATTTACAATACAAGCATCTATTATAAAATTTTTCCTAGCCAAAGCATGTTTGAACTCAGATTTCCGGTTCTGGTTAAGAAGTATTTACTTCCAAGATTATGGACCATGCTAAAAGAATGGAAGATAGAGAGAACGTAAAAAAAGCAAGAAATAACATAAGACTGAAAAAAAAGCACTGTTATTGCTGTAAATAATATCACTTGCTGACTCAACAAGTATTTTTAAACTGCGTTTTAAACTCTCATTGCTTGCATCTGAGGGATTTTCTAATCAATATCTGACAAATTTGTAAATTATTATTCTTTCAGTATGATAATGATAAAAATATCCCAATCAGTAGGCGAGTTGAAAATTGCTACTATCAGGGCACTATAAACGGTGAAGAAGCATCATTTGTGGCATTGTCAACGTGTAATGGTTTGCGGTGAGTTCTTGCTATTAGTCTTTGGACTCTCAAGCTTATGTTTTGGAAATGTCTCCTGTTTTAAAAGATAAAAGAAAAGTAGAAGAGATGACGAAGAAGGGAGAAAGAAGGGATTGGAATCATTGTTTCAAACATTCCGGTAAAATTTTTTCAATGGTTAAATTTTCCAGCGGTATAATTGCTTTCGATAACGGTTCAGCCTATGGCATATGGCCGTTAGATGGTGGTGATCGAGGCCGCCGTCATCCGCATGTCTTGTATCGTGCAAAGTGGTCTCAATCTGCTTCATGTGGTAATCAAATTGGAGAGATTGTGAAGCAGTTTCAAAAGGCTTGTCTGAAAATTTTCTGAATTTTTTGTCTTTTTAACATTTCAGACTAAAACTAATAACTATAGTTTTATATTTTACTTTTATAATTAGTTATTATTTAAATTCATTTTAATCCCAACGATGTTTTAGTTTCCGAAACGTGACGTCACGAAACAAACAAAGTTCGTCGAATTAGCTGTGATTAACGATTACTCTTTTGTAAGTTTATGATCATCCTGAATTTTGTGCTTTATGTTTGTTTCTATTAACTGAACTGTTTTTGAAATAGAAAGTTAGGCATAACATCTCAGAAAGTTGACAAAAATATATGGTTTTCTTTGTTTACGTGATGATTTTAAATAAAACTGCACAATTTGCTTCAGATGAAAAAACACGATTTTCACGAAGAAGAAGCCATTGGATTCATTTTAGAAGCTATCAATATTGCTGACTATGTAAGTTTTCCACCATTGGGAACTTATCACGTTGAGATCAATGACCCTATAGATTAAATGAATAAAATTGAGTGTCACCTCTTATCTCTGAAGTTACCGGAAAATAATCTACGAGTGCAGATTTTTATTTTAGGAGTTTTCCGCAAAAGATGATGTCTAAATTAATGTACATCCAAAAAACTCCTTTCAGCACTTGCACATGTGAATATTTAAAAAAAACATGGCATAAAATGGTATTATAAGGCATAGAAATGTGTTTTTTTGCTTTCTTCATGTCCAAAATAATTGGTCAGAGATCAGCGAGGAAAACCGTTTGGTGCTCCTTAGATATGATATTCTTTAAGTGATATTTAATTGAAGTTTGTGTTTCTTAATTAAATATCTTTTGAACAAGTGAGGAATAATTAAGTTCGCAAATATGATGCTACTAATAATAAAATTCAAGATCAGTTGTTGTACAATAGATTATTCTTTTTCAAACCTTTCGATGCTACTGTCAGTTTAACTCAATATTCACATCGCTGGCAAAATGTTTTCGGTTAATGAATATGTAGAATTGAAAACATGTCTTGCTATGGATCTTACGATAAACTAATCTTATATTCTGAAATGAGCATACTTCCATCTCACTTTTTGATATACTTGAAATATTCCAATTATTTCGATAAAATATAATTGTTGATATCATTTTTTCTGTCATTATTATTATACATTATATATGCAAAAAAAATTCAGTTTATAGGACAAATTATCCAACTTTGACATATGTTTAAGAGGAAATGACCATCTGTTCAGTCATCTTTCCGACAATTTCTCACTACTTTAAAGCGGTATCTTAAAAAGATATCCTTTTTCTCTCTTTTTACTCTTCTCTTTCTCATTCCCTCTTCAATTCTTTTTTTGTGTATTTTTTTGAAGACTTGCGGCTATATTTCCTTTCGTACCATAGGTTTAACTGTCCTTTACCATTTTTTGCTTTTTTTTGCCAGCGCTGCTAATTTATTCATTTTCTCAATCACTGCAAAGCAATTGAAACCAATCTTTGAAGCCATCGATTTTGAAATTCTCAATTTTTTACTTTTTTCGTTTTGCGATCATTTATTGGGGATTGGCAAAGCGAAAAGGGGATCTTCACAAGTCTTCTAACTCATATTACCGTGTTGTTGTCATCTCTCACATATTTATGTCCTGCAACCTCTTCTAAAAGACAAAAAAGTTTCTTTAAGTTTCCTCCTTGTCTTAATCATTTAATATGTTTCTTACATGCACAATTCAATTTCTTTTTGTCTGATTAGAGATATTCTACTTTTTATTCAACTTGCAACTTCCATTAATTTTTACAGATGTTTTCACGTGATTTAAATATTCGATTGAGTGTTGTTTATTTGGAAGAGTGGATGGATAAATCACGGATTGATTATCATGAAGATATCGAGAGGACGTTAAGCAATGCTGTGGAATATGTTACTAGTCAAATTTATCACATTGGTTAGTCATGGTTTTTTCTGTGACAAGAGATCGTTCTTCTAACTTGAATCTAAACAAAAAATGATTTATAACTTCTGTTGTAAACAATTTTTTTTAATTGATGGTTACATTATTATGCATTGCTTATTTATTAATTTTAGTCAAAGATTCTTCCCTGATATTTACATCATCAAAGTTTGTCAAAGACGAAGTGATGAGCAGCACTTCTGGAAGCATTTGTTCACCGCGTGCAACTGGTTTGGTTACGGTATGATTTCTGAAACTAAATTTCAGAAAACTATGTTCTTAATTTTATTATTTTTCTATTGCTTTATGGAAAATTTGCTTATTGTCAAGTAACAGAGTTATTCAAGTTAACTTTAAGGCTGTGGATATGTACACAGCACATGATACGGGTCAGTTAATTGCTCATAATCTGGCTCACATCATGGGGATGGATCATGATTCTTCAGATTGCACATGCGATTTAATCAACAATTGCATTATGCATAAACAAGCAGGGTAAGTTCGGCCATAGCAACCAGTTAGCTAGTATCTTCTTGATTGATTAGCAACAAAACGTATACTTGAAGCCTATTGAAATTCTTAAACCTTACTTGTTTATTAAATATAGAACTGTTCACACATTCCTTATTTTTTCCTCATTCTACAGTACTCCAAACTTTGAATAAGGAAGATAGGTTTGGAAGAAATTTTTTTAGCAGATAAAATCTTTCGGTTGATGACTCAATATGCATCTATTGGAAGAGCGAAAATTAGCATTTGAGAATGGTGATAAATCTGCATATGCATAATTTATGATGGGTGTATAAATGTGCCCATCCGTTTTAGAGGCATTACGAACCGAGTGCTATAGATATGCCCTCCATCCCCTAGGGGATTGCTTCAATCAGATAAGGAAACCTTCAATGCTGTCATGTGTATCATAAAAGGCGATTCATCAGATCAAGACAGTTCATCGCTGTTGTCTGACAATTCTCGGAGATTGTTGAATATGGCTGGATCGTCATGAAATGAAGCATTTCCGCTATTGAAATACTAATTTAGACTTTTTAGTAAGGGAAAAGATTTGAAAATAAAGAGCATCATAAAATATAGGGGCATCTATAAAGATATCGCAAGTGAACCATGGAGCTAAACAGGGTAGCTAATGTACATGGGTTGAAGTAGTACTCAGTCAATGATAAGAGGAAATAGTTTAGTGCGCATCAGCCTAGGATTGCTCACTGAAAGCAATACAGCGAAAATCCATGCGATGTTTCTAAACGCTTGATAAGATCGCTTAATCAACGATAAATGGATCGAATATGAATTTAAGCGTATAAAATAATAAATATGAAAGAGATAGAATACGAGATGTTCATTTATGTTATTTATTACAATGCAAAATAGACAATTATTGATTTGGGACTATTTTCAGGAATATTGGGTCACCATTCTTATGGCAATTCTCAAAATGCAGTATAGCGAGAATGCATAGCGTGTTACAATCCGGACATTTGCAGTGCTTGCTAAATAAACCATTGCAAGTAAGCATTTATTGCTTTATTCGTTCTTTTTCGCATGTCAGATTTTGCAAAATTGTGACAGTTATAATCGTAACCATCTTCTTACGGATAATTTTTAAATTTTTGGTTAGTTAACTCGCTTTTTGTTAAAATAGTTCACTTCTCTACTCTTTATCTGTGGCTGTAGATATAAAGGTGCAATACGTAATAGATGCTTATATTGTCCAACCTATCATTAACAACATCGGTATTTTGTTGGCTATTTTTACTTTAAACAGATTATCGGAATTTCCAGAAGCATCGAAACTTAGAATTAAGAGAAAAGAAATTATCTAAGAGCGGTGATAATTTCTGTTCTTGTGTTTTGGCTGTTTTCACCACTCTTTTTGCTTTTAAAAAATAATTCTTGATGACTTTTAACTTTTAGATAGAAATATTTCTAATCATTTTTATAGGCATCAACACTGCAACAATGTGGTAACGGTATTATTGATGGTGAAGAGGAATGTGACTGTGGACTGCGGGAGCAGTGCCTCGACCCATGTTGTGATCCATTAACATGTACTCTTCGAATTCATGCTCACTGTGCGTCTCATCAAGCATGTTGCCATCGTTGCCAAGTAAGCTTTTTATATGGTAGTTTTCCCAAATTTTTTTCGTTTTCATTTTAACAACTGGTAACCTAACAAACATATGCATTAAGCAAGTGGTTTAACAGCTGAAACGTAAATGTGGAGTTATTTCCGTATTATGGAGAAATTGTGCAACTGCGCACAGATTTACTGCAGATGGCTGATTTTTTGCAATAGTCTTATCTTCACAGATTTGTAAATTTAAAGACTTTTTTCTTCTGATTTAGAAGGAAAGTTAATATATATTGTAGTTACGACCGACAGGACATGTATGTAGACCGGCGAGATCTGTATGCGATGTTGCGGAAGTGTGCACCGGAGATGATGGTGATTGTCCGGATGATGGGTTCCTAATTGATGGCACCATATGTGGCATTAGCGGACAATGTTGGAAGGGAAACTGTTCAGATATTGAACAGCAATGTCGCGATCTTTGGGGTTCCGGTAAGTTCTTTTTTCTTAGAAGAAGAAATGGAAGAAAATTTTTGCAATAAATTTAAAATAAATTCAATTACCGTTACTTTCTTTATATCCGATCTAACTTACCTGCTAGATGAAAGCTTTCATCGTTCTCTTAAAGGGAACTGTTGGATATGTGCTGTGAAACAGCCTCACTCAATGAAATATTGTCTACAGTTAGAAAATTAATGAACTAATATTCATGAATTTCAACCGTAGATAATATTCCAAAACAGAGATCATTTTTAGATGCATCAACGGCGGACGAACACTGTTATGAACGTAATGGGCTTGGTTTGGAATATGGGAACTGTGGCACAGATCGAGATGGGTTGTATAGGAAATGTGCAGTGGAAAATGTACACTGTGGAACATTGCACTGTCGAGGAGGTTTTCAAACCCCTCTGGACATAAAGCTGAATTCATTTAATCTCCAGTTCCTACATGAAACCAAACAAATACAGTGCAAGTATGTATTGGGTATAACTTTAAAGTCATTTTCAATTTTTCTCGAATTTTACAAATCTCGAGATTTAACTCTTACTTAGTTGATTAGTTGATCATTTGTTCACCCTATTTGTTCACTTCTAGAATACGGATTAATCATTGCAAACACCACTTAATGATCCTGTTCCCATGTCTCCCACTTATCTCATTTTATTCAAAAATCAGATGATTTTCGGTATTTTTGAAAAAGTCTCATTTTTGGAAACAAAGGGATTAATATCACTATTTTCAATCTTTGTCAGTATTCTAAATTAAAATTGGACTAAATTTTATTTGTCATTTTATTACGCTATAAAATGCTTTCGGCTTCGTATTGGTGGCGGTGAAAAAGACGTTTAAGCAGAAGCCTTTTTTTAAGTGTTAATTATAATAAATAAGACTAGCGCTTAAAAAATATTTATTTTTAATATTCAGAAAATATTCGTTTAGAATGGTTACGAATCTCGATGTTGGTGTGGTTATGGACGGAAGCAGTTGTGGTTCCGGAAAAGTTTGTGTTCAAGGGATTTGTTCACCTCTTGTTCAGATTTCACCACCTGTGCACTGCCCAAGCAATAATCTTGCTTACCAGTGTTCGGGACATGGGGTAGATCTCTCTGCTTAAATTGGTGTTGTTTATCAAAAAATTACTCAAATTTCCAAATTTGCAACTTGAATATGAATCGTAACTTTTTTTATTGGTTATAATCTAGAAAAATTATTCTACAATCTTAGGACTGTACGACTACACGACGATGTTTGTGTTATAATGGTTGGGTAGGTACAGCATGTGACACCAAAACAAATGTTACTCATTCTACAACTGTTGTACCATCGGATGTTTCTCATTTCAGTGATATTTTTATTCCATCATTTGCAGGTAAATATTTCATTTCTTATGATTTGGGCGAGCTTATAAAATGCTATTGCAATTAGTTTATTGGAAATTGATTGTAATTCTCTCTGGTATTTTTCTTTTCATTTATCATAGCAAACTTTCTAATTCTTTCTCATCAACTTAATTCCCATTTTGTCATAGTTAATAATTGTAATGAGGGAGAAATTCTTCTTGCAAATTTATCAAACAAAGGGTTAATCTTGTATTTGTCCCATTAGTGCATCCTTAAAGCCTACTGAGCAATTGGATTTTGCTTTTTATTTTATTGGATTTTCTAGACAGTGGTAAATTTCATTTCAATTTTTATTCCATGATTCTTTTTATTTTAGGTGGCCATAAGTTGAACACCACAACTCTACTTATTATTCTTCTTATTGTTGGCATATTGCTTCTGCTGCTTTTAATTTGCCTCTTATTTTGCTATCGGTAAGACCTTTTTGTCCTCGCTTGATTAACCTCACCATTCAATGATAAAGAAATTTCTTTATCGTTTTTGTTTTATAGACGACAGAGTGAAATTGAGTTTTCTTCACCGGCAGACGAGAAGTTAAACGAAAGTCTTCCGGAAAACACGCAAAGAGCGATAAAATTTGGTAGTATGCCAAGTTATCGGTAAGCTTCCTCTGCTGGCATCACTTCTTAAACTTAGGACATAAGGTTTCAGTTACCGAAAGTGACATTTTAAGCTTTACCGAAAACTGACATTAATTTTACATTTATGTAATAGCATAATTTTTAGTGAGGAAAAAAGAAAAAGAAAAAAGGACAAACATGTTTATGATGCATTGCAAAGGATCAACGAGGCAAGTGATGAACGCGATAGTGCATCTGTGAAGTCTCGTGAATCTGGAAGTACAGGTCATGAAAATAACGGCGCTTTGCCAGTGAACAGAAACTGTATGGAATATGATCCAAGAGAAGATATCGTTACAACAATGCTGAACGGTAAAATTTTTTGAGAGATCGATAATGAATACTATTCAAGTATGGATAAAAATCTCACTGTTCAGCAATATTAATGAAAATAGATAGTGAATCATAGTGCCGACTCTCAGGTACAGCAACAACCATATTGAAAAGAGAAGCACCTGTTAACCACAGCTATTATTGCGATGGTGTACTGTATCATGATACATGTTCGGAAATGATGGGTTCATCGCCAACAATACGGTGTTCATCTGTGGCGCTTCCAGCTCGTTGTGAACGAAACCGAAGCGGCTATGCAACTGATTCTGAAATTGGTTAGTTTTTATTGATATGATATAAATGTGGCATTAATATTTAAATTGCGTGTAATATCGTTTCATTGCGCATCCATGCATGTTTTGACATTATTTATTAAGAGTAGCAGGTAAACAATACTAGCTCATATTTTAGTCACATATCGGACGATAAGGTAGAAAGATTTTGGTAATAAAGCACTTACAAATACGCCAAGAAGCTTGGATAACTTTCATTAGCTTTGATTGTTTTTACTGCCATCACACCATTAAAAAAAGTTTAATTTATGGTGGCAATCTATCTTAAAAAACTCAAATTATTTTGAAGCAATGGGACGCTATGGAGCACGTTATGTTGAAGCCGTATCAGGTGCAAGTGTTGAATTGAGTCCAAGCTCGTCGCAGACTTCAGTGAACAACAGAATGACTCCAACTCCATTGAAACTTAACAATATTGGAATGTTGCTGAGACAATTGCAACATAATGATGAAGTTTCCAGGTTCACATTTATTCAGATGGCTATTATTTCACCAGATATCACTTGCCAGTGATTATTACTTTGTCGTATATTCAAAACCTCTTTTTTTTGCCGTTTAATTGGGAGTACAGTGCTCTTATTTCAGCGACGCAGAGCTGAGTGCGGTAGAGGCAGATCATGTGGAACATGGAGATTTAGGTTCTAATACAGAGTCAAGCAGAGGCTATGAAATTCAAGAAGCAAAGTATTATTAATACTTTTTTAAAATATTAAAGAAAATGTGGGATTACTAGCTCTATAAACTCCTCTGAATTTAATCAGCTAAATATGTTAAATTGGCCACTAAAATATAAAATTAAATAATTACAGCACATCACTGCCGAACGGTTTAGACCCGAACTTTTCGCGATCGCTTCAACCCAAAGACCGGAAGAGTGGTGATGAAAGACTGAATAGTACTCGCAATTGTAGCAGTACTTCAGCTTGCTTCTCAAATGAAACAATGTTGAGTGGGCATAGTTCTCTGTTTCAACAATGTCAGTCTCTTTCTGAAATGGAAATGAGTGAAAGAAGCGCTAGACATGCACATCCACACGGTCAAAGCCAACATTCATTGTTCAATGACTCTTTCAGGCTGGAAGTATGACCTTTATTAGCCTGTATTCTTGTTGCTTCAGCAGTATTTCGGTATGATTCACTCGTTAACTAGGCTTAATTTTTTAAAGAATTCAGGAACCCTTTGTTGTTACCATATGATTTTGGAAAACATTGATCATAAATGTAAATTATTAGGTTGTTCTCTTCAACAACGCTTGGTTAAATTATAGTTAGTTAAGAAGTTGAAGTGTATGAAACACTGCTGATTAACAAAGCAGTTCGAAACGGTGAGATATGACTGATCTCTCTTATATGAAGTTTATTTTCACTGGATATCTTGATATATCTTTTGATATTTATATATGT